CTTTTACATACAGTAGAAGTTCATCCTCAGTATTAATGCATAAGGAGAGAAAATGTATCACATTGTTAATTGCTAAAATGTATTTTCCATACAAAAATGAATTAATTTTGGGGTACATTTCACATGATGATAAAGTGTGAGTTTTTTTCAAACTTGCACCTGAAAGAGACAATTATTTCTATTTAAATTTTTTTTAATTATTTCAACTGTCTAATGTATTTTGAGGGAAAACAAACTACTTTTCTAAGTATTGGGTAGTGTTGTAGTTTTCGTTTAGTACGAGCAAACCAACCTCATCCTCGATCCAAGTGAGCGTTCATTCATTTACCATTATGGATGTTTTCATGCTTGAAATTGTACGTACATATCAGTGAAATTATAAAATCATGTCTTGAACTATTGACCACTGCAACTACAGTGGATTCAATGCATTACTGTGTAAACAAGTGACTTTTCCACAATGAACACTGGAAAAAAATGCTACTTCTAGCGGTCTATTCAAGGGAATAAAGCTTGGAACTCCAAGTCTCTTTTAACTTAAGTTCTAAATTGCGAGTTTCCTTGGATGGGCAACAAAACACCTTCTACCAGAGTTGTAAAGTAACTAAGTACAAATACTTTGTTATTGTACTTAAGTAGAATTAAAGTAACTAAGTACAAATACTTTGTTATTGTACTTAAGTAGAATTTTTGGGTATCTGTACTTTACTTGAGTAATAATTTTTCAGCCTTTCACTTCCACTTCTTACATTTTCACACAATTATCTGTACTTTTTACTTGCATTTAAAAAAAAGACAAGAAGTAGAAAGTCGTTACTTTTATTTTATTTTTTCTTGTTTTCATTCCAGCTTATTGTAAAAAATAAATACTATCCATTAAAACTGTGGCTCCTAGATAGAGTGAATTTAATTGTGGTTGAAGGAGAATTATAAATATATAAAATTCGGATACTGTATTAGTTTGTACACAAACAAATCATGTCATACTCCAGCAGGACATAATCATTAAAATAAAAGGCCTGTACATAAGAAGTATTTGTATTTCATGAACTATATTATTGGCAATAATATAATTATCTATCTGCAGCCCTTGGATAGATTTTCATGTTGGGGAAAATATTTGGGCTCCCTTGATAAATGTATAAAAACTGAAATAGCTGGACTAGTGCATCCTAAATTTAACATAAATATATTATTTTAATACAACAGTCATTTTTGCAGTTTTTGGTGGACGAGGTCACCTCCTATGTCGTTACGTAAAATCTAACTGCTCATTTTAAATCAATACTTTTACTTTTAATACTCAAGTACAAAACATAACAGACTTTTACTCAAGTAATATTCCTAAAGGAGACTTTAACTTTTACCAAAGTAATTTTACGGTAAGGTACTTGTACCTTTACTCAAGTATTTGTTGTGGTACTTTGTACAACACTGCCTTCTACAAAAGTCCAGTTATTTTTTTAGTTTTATACTTACCTTTTTGATTTTGCCATGTCCTGGATGACTGAGAATCTACTAATTTGGCATATTGTCTTTAGAGTAACTGTATCATGTCCAGAGTTTAAATGTACATATCATATACAGTTTTCTATTTTAAACCAAATTTCTGACATTTTACCTTATACAAACCTTATTTTACACAATTTACAATGATGAGCCAAACTTTCCAAATACTTGGTTTGATATTTATGGCATGAGTCTCAGACAGGATTTTTTGTTCCACCCAAGTCCATCTTATCTCCACTAAATATATGAGCATATTTACGCCTTGTCGTGGAGGATACATGACGTGTGTGCACTTAGGTCTGTCACAATAACAAATTTTGCTGGGCGATTAATTGTCTCAAAAAATATTGCGATAAGCGATAATATTGCCTGGTGACCATTTTACAACTAATAATTATAAAAGCGTAATATGTAAGTGTAATAAATCAATAAACTTTAATTTTTAAAGAATGTTTAACAAAGTGGACTCTCAGTCTCTAACAAAAAAATGCACTTGAATAAAGAAAACAAAGAACAACAAAATGTAAATTAAACACCACACACAACTAAAACAGTAAATAAACAATATTAAAGAGCAGCATCTCTTTAGAGATGAAGCAAACTACACAGCCTGGTGAGGACTCACTGTTTCTTATGGAGACATAATCCCAGTTCACATCCTCTGTAAAGTTTAGGCTAGGTTTAGGGTCAAATGGTAATAGAAAATACTGGTAAATGAATGAAAGTCAATGCAAAGTCCCCATGAGGACAGAAGAACAAACGTGTCTATGTGTGTGTGTGTGAGGAGGGGACAGTCAGTGAGGAGACAGTCAGAGCGCTGCGGGGGAGGAAATCAGACAGTTCAGAGTTTTCCTCATGAGTTGTTGGGACAGCTACAGGTTTTTTGGGTGTTTTGTTAAAACACAGATGGTGCGTTTAAGTTTCCTGTTGTTTTTGGGAGCTACAGGTAAAGTGTTGACGAGTTTGTCGCAGGTCTGAGGAAGTTTCAGCCCCCACCCCTTCTCCTCCTCTCTCTCTCTCTCTGTGTCTCCCCGCAGCGAATTTCAGGCTCTGCAGTTGCTCCGACACTGCAGCAGCCGCGTTCTGCTTTGAAACGTTTCTTTAGTTTGTTATTGCTACGAGCTCTCACGCTAACGTGAGAGTTCACTCCTCCCGACACTAAGAAAACAGGAGGGGAGGAGTCAGCTGAGCTCCTCTGCAGAGGAGCACAGAGAGGGAGAGAAAGTAAACCAACAAGCAGGAAAATGAAACTTATCGTCCTCATTTTTTTACCGACCTCAAAATAACTTATCGTGCAATTAATTGATTTATTGACTATCGCGACAGGCCTAGTGTGCACCGGCCATTGATGCATTAAAAGTATATTTCATCCTGCTCTTGGTTCCATCTGTAAAACTCTGCTCTTCATTTCCCACATGAGAGGTTTTCGTATCACCCAGGCCCCCTCTCACCTGCCCTGTGTGGCTGAGTTAAAGCCGATAAAACACCCAAATATTCTGTTAAACACAGGCGGCCTCTGCCGTGCGGCCGCTCCCTGCGATGCCTCCTGGGTAATTATGGTAATAACTCAGCCGTCAGAGGCGAGGCCAGAGGCCCCGGGATGACGAGGTCAGATCAGAGAGCTCGGCACTAGCAGAGCGGCGGTGGCGGAAGGCATGTTGTTGGGGGTCAAGGTGAAGCAGGCACAGCTCGCTGTCACATAAACACTCGCTGTCACATCAGAGACCGCCAGATGTATGTTGACGCTCCCGCCGATCCGTCCGCCTCAACTACCAAGACGCTGATGAGGGATGATGACAAGTGTGTGAGCAGTTTGGGGATCTGTGTGCCCTTGACTGAAACAATTGTCAGCCAGCTTATAGACTGGATCTGACGAACTAACTGGACCATCTACCACTGGGGGTGAGAAACTTTAGGCTCCTCATAATTTAATTATTTACAATTTAAAGCTCTGCGATCCAGTTGAAAACAACAGCATGTTTACGCTAATCAGCTAACAGCTAATGGCAAAACAATTTTTTATGTTTAGTGGTTTACCTTTTTCACTAATTTTGAAAACCCAGTAATGTGCAGATGGAAAGAACAAAAGACAACCATAATATAATAAAAAAATGTCTATATTTATCCATTGCTTTGTACTGTAAACAAATTTTGCATTTAAATTAAACAATTTCTTTTATCTTCAATCAATGAACTTCAATCTCACACAAACTGCTGCCTAAAATATCACTCAGTAAGAGCGGACTGTTGCCATGTCACTGTATGTCGCTAGTAAAATGTTTAAAATACTTTTGATATATGCCTGAC